CCCGGATTATAAGTATTTGAGAAGGGATTATTTTTCGAGTTCCCTTGACTAGCTTGATTCCCCACATAAAAAATTGAGGCCGGATTGCTTGGACATTGATCAAAAGTGTGTTCTTCTCCGCAATATTCACAAGATTTAGCTGCTGTTTGGGTCATTACAGCAACTGTATGGGCTGATGCTTTGGTCATTGTGCCATGTCCCAATGCTAGATTTTGTAAAATATTAGTCACCGAAGCTAGTCGAGTGTTGATAGAAGACAAAACATCAACTTTAAGTACCCCTCGGGTCTTCTTTCCAGGGTTGCTTCTCACATCCGCCCATTGGCAATTGTTAGATGCTATTCTCTCTAAAATCTCATATGCTTCATTGTATGTCTTTAACAAAATAGCTCTATTTGCGGAAGCACCAACTACTTGTTTAGTAGCAATATTTAATCCATGGTAGAAAGTCTCCATTTGTATACAATGAGGTAATCCATGATGAGGACATTTTCTAAGCATCTCCTTGAATCTCTCCCACGCTTNCACTTAGTGTTTCATCTTCAAATTGTTGAAAAGCGACAATCTCATTTCTGAACCGTGCATTTCTAGTGGGTGAAAAATACTTGATAAAAAATTTATCTGCAGACTATTCCAAGAATCAATTAGTCTCGATGCTAAGGTATTCAACCATGATTTAGCACCATCCCTCAAAGAATAAGGGAATAAGCTCAATCTAATCACGTCTTTATCCACTCCTTGGAATCAAAACGAGTCACTAACTCCTAAAAATGACTTTAGATGTAGGTGGGGATCTTCCGACGATAGTCTATGAAATTTCCCAATGGTTTGCAACATTTGAAACATCATGGGCTTTAGCTCAAACGTGGTTCCTTGCGTTTCGGGTTTAATAATGCACGGATTTAGCTCTTCCATAGCTGGGTGTGCATATGCTCGAATCGCTCTTTCTCTGTCATCTGCTAAATGAATGGCATTAGCAGTAATTCTCTCTTGATTAGCCATCATCGCTGAATTTTCGAACTCCCGATTCAGTTGGGCCATTTGCTGTATATTCTGTTTTGCCATTTTCTTTTTCTCCCTCAACTTTCGTCTAAAGGTTCTCTCTATTTCAGGATCAAAAATAAATTTCAAACACGTAGGTGGGTTCATACACAAAATTTTGCAACAGTAAGCTCACTTCTGCAGCAGTAAATTCAGCAGCAGAAAATTCAGCTTACTATGGCTTCTTTTTGGCTCCAACTCACGAAAATTTACAACAAGTAAAATAACCAAATTAGGTTCCCCGGCAACGGCACCAAAAACTCGATCTCTTGTGGATGTATTTATTAAAATGATGTAAAACTCACAAGATTAAGTGCAAGTATACACTATCACAAGTAGGAAGTAATAAGTAAATTATCGATTCCACAGAGAACCTATCCTTTTGGTAAATTTAATTACTGGAAATTAAGTGAGTTTTTCGGTAACATTCAAATGGATGGATTTTGACTACTTAAATAAAACTAAAGCAGAGTGTCACTGCTAAATAAGGAGAAAATCAACTATAATGAGGAACGTTTGGCTAAGAGAGATTAAATAGATAAGTTGTTGAGTTTTGTGGTAGATTTCAGTTTCTTTTAATAGATTTGCAAGCCCACTTATGAGGGTCATGAATGATGATTATTTCCATAATCGTTGTAATTTCTATCAGCCAGGCTTTAGGAGAAGAATTATTCCTAACCCTATTATTATCCTTCAAGTTTTCTCGCTATGGAACTAGAGTATTAAAGAGGATTTCATTGCTCCCTCTCTTCAAACGAATAAGAGAACAACGATGTATGTAAAGTAGTTAATTAAACACACATGTAAATCATTAACAACAACTCTTTAATAAACTAAAATCATACCGTCAACATAGTTAAACTATATAAAACTCTCTCGCCTATCCTATAAAGTTTAGCTCTCCATACAAACTGAATTAAACAAAGAAATTCGCATCTCAATCATGTAAAATTGATGGAATGAGAAAAGAGAATAAGAAAATAGAGAGTTATCCCGGTTTGTTGTCGTTCGTCAATGGAAGTTCCCTTCCCTTGAGCTCTCATGTCCACCTCTTTGCCCTAATCAATCCTTATTGGTCTTCTTTTCCTTTTGCTGTCAACAGGTGCTGGATTAGGATTTTCTTCTTCTTCTATGGTTTCACAGCAACGGAGGCTGCTGTTGTATTTCTCTCCCCAAGTGTGGCCCCTCCCTATTTTAGGTATCCTTTTTCTTTTATAATGCTTGTTTCTTCTAATTTAGGGTTGAGAAAGGATAAAATTGTCCACCTAGGAGGTTTTTAATTTGGTAGCCAATGATCCACATGAACTGCTGATGTGGATTAAAATTTTCAAGTTATCCCCGAAAAGTTTGCTTTCCGGATTGCTTCAGCATCAAGGTTAGCAATTTAATTCCAGATTTGCAAGTAGTGCTGTTTCCAGATTTGCTATAGCATCATGGTTCAGTATAAATATTCTAGAATTTTACCAAATAGCTCAATTAAGTGTACAATTATGCTCAATTTATGCAAATTTATCTTCTTTTCATATTAAACCCCAATTGGCTATTCCATGTATACTAATTAGAATAAATGGAGCAATTAATGAGAAAATGGTGAGTATAAGTGCAAAATTAATGGTAAAAAGACTTATATAACTCTACTTTTGGAAAGTTATCACACCCCCAAACTAAAGTTATAACTCTACTTTTGGAAAGTTATCCTTGAGCAATCATTCTCTCCCCTTTTCCTTTTTTTCTCATTAACAAAATTTTTCTTCAATTTATATTTATGTTGGTAGAGTATTCATTAAATGTATGATTTAGATCACATTCCTTATATTCCTTCCTCAATTCAGTTTTTCTCCACATTTCACTCTACACTTATAACCAAATCTTACAAGAAAAATAACTCATTCCTCACTTCCACCGTATTCCCCAAAACACTTCTAAAATGATTATTATTCCTTTTACCTTTGCTTTTGTGACTTGGCTTCACAATTTATTTCATTAATTTTCTCTTATCATAACAATTTTTTTTTCTCTCCCAAGAATCCTTAAGTCATCCCCTATTCTCTAGGTGCCTCCACTTGTGGTGCAAATCACCTAAGTCTTCAAGGGATGACTATATAGGCTAACACTCATTCTCCCTTAGCTCGACTCTCCTTCTAGTATCTTGTAGTTTTCAGTGTGGCCACATTTGTGATGCAGCTCACTTGAACAATAAGGATAACTTTCTCTTTTTTTTTTTTTTATTTACATCCCAATTACTTTCGATTCAGACACCTACATTGGTGATGCAGATTGCTTGACAATGAGCAATTGAGACAATTTGTTTGCTTTCCACTTCTTTAGCATTGAGAGTTCAAGCTTTAGGTTGAAGATGAGTGGTCTAGGGTACGAATTTTTTGTTGTTTTTTTTTTTTTGGCTTTGCAATTTGTATGGGGTGATGGAATTGCTTTAATACCCCCAAACTTAAACTAGCCATTGTCCTCAATGAGCATTAGTGTGGGAGTGGAATAATTCTTAAAAGTAGTTTGAGGTGCAGAAGCTCTTGGTTATTGTTTTTGTTGGGAAAATGGTCTAAAATTTAGGTAAATTATGGAAATTCTCTAAGTAAGGTGGATTATGATAGATTGGATCCTCACCTTACTTTGATGAATACTCCATTCCATTTAAGCTATAATTTCCTTAACTTTTTTTTTTTCGAGTTATATAGTTTTTTTTTTTAAGGAAACACACCTCTCACCTTACTATTTTATTTATCACATTGAAGCACTTTATATTAGATCCTTAGTTCTTGCATAAAACATCCCTACTGCATACTAAAAAAATGCGTGATATATTACCCTATCTAATAAATCTCATATTTCTAGGGTGCATGCATGAACATCTTTCAAAATTATATGTAGTTTCTAAGGAGCATGCATGAACATCTTTCAAAATTATATGTAGTCAACAAAACAAAAACAAACAACAAAATATGGATACGTGCTTCAAAATAAGATAATAAGATCGTAAAGGGTGTGTTTAGAGATAAAAATAAGATAATAAGATTGTAAAGGGTGTGTTTTAGAGAATTCCCTTATCTTTAGGCATCGTGAAGATCTTTGCGGCTCCATTCTTTTAAAATTTTATCAAAAAACTTGGAAATACTACTGCTGTAAATCTGCTATCAGTCAAGCTATTGGTACTGCTGCTGTATGTCTACTGTTGCATGTGAACTATGATGTCTAACAGCTCATTTCTTAACATTTCAAGCTTACCCGAGAATGTAAAAGGATTATTTTCTAACCATTTCTCTTTTCCATAAAAATTTCTTTCATTGGGGGATTAGAAAATCTTTTAGGATGTTCTTAAAAAAAATTCTTTGGTGGTGGTTCCTTGGTATTTAGTGGATGAGAAAGTGAACAACATTAAAATGAAATAAAACCACATGCAAATGAAAATGGACAAGTCAACTATGTGGCAACGTGCACTACGAGAGAATAATATTTGTCATCAATCACATCCTAGCATGCACTAAGTGTAATTAGTCTCCTTTATATGCTGAATGTAGCATTCCTAACCACATCTAAATCCCCCTAATTCATCTACAAATAACTTCTTTGGGGAATGCTAGTTATTCACGACAACAAATAAAATAAAATCTAAAAAACTATCATTCTAAGAAAAGTGAAGATAGCTATTTAAAAAAAACTATATAAGTGCCTAAATAAAAAGAAAAGAAAAACTAACTTGGTTTACTCAGAGCTTAATATATTTGCTTACAAATTGTTACTAGCTCCCTCTTTCTCTTTTCATTTTTTTAGTTATCCATTGTCAAAGAAATGATGCCCCTTTGAAACTCTCCATCCTAAGGTGGGTGTGAATAATTTCGGGAAGTCTATCTCCCATGTATCAAATAGTTCTTCTTCTAAGATGTAGTTCAAGGGTGTGTCGATACATAATTTCATTAATGAATTTATTCTTTCCTCTAATTCCAATCATTCAAAAACTCTTACAATTTTCTCTGATTCTACTTGTTGTGTAGTGCAATTATTCCAGCTGCTGTCTTCTTCTTGTTGCTGTTTCCAGCTATCAGTTGGTTGATTCTCTGTCAATTTATAAATTGTTGAGCATTCCTCTACTACTGCTGGATATTTCATGTTGTCATTCATATGAAATTCTATTTGTTGATCATTCATTCTCAGCATTATAGTTCCCTTGTGGACATCTACCAATATTCTTCTGGTTTTCAAAAATGATCTCCCCAAGATAATTGGTACATCATGGTCCAGTTCATAATCCAAAATGATAAAATCTGCTAGAAAAATGAACTTGTCCACTTGAATTAGGATATCTTCGATGTTTCCTTCTGGATGAGTTAAAGATCGATCTGCTAGTTGAATAGTGACTGTAGTTGGTCTAGCTTCACCAATACCTAACTTTTTGTAAATAAACAGTGGCATTAGATTAATGCTTGATCCCAAATCACATAATGCTCTACCTAGCTTCTTCCCTCCTATTGATATGAGAATTATGAATGAACCGAAATCTTTCTCCTTTAGTGGGATCTTGTTTTTCAATATTGCACTGCAGTCTTCATTCAATGGTACCACCTTGAATTCTTCAAACTTTCTTCTATTGGTGAGCACATCCTTCAAGAATTTCACATAAATTGGCATTTCTTCAACGCTTCAAGTAATGGTATATTTATGTGAATTTCCTTAAATATATGTATGAACTTCTCAAAGTGGGCTTCTTCCTTCTTTCTTTTTATTCTTTGTGGGAAAGGAGGTGATTGTGTGTATATTCTGCTTTCTTGTCCACTACTGACTATTGTTTGCGTTTTAGGAGGCTTCACAATTTCTGCATAATTTCTGTTATGTTCTTTCTGTACAGCATTCTTGTCCACTGTTGACTGTTGTTTGCGTTTTAGGAGGCTTCACAATTTCTGCATGATTTCTGCTGTGTTCTTTCTGTACAACAACTTCTGCATCATTTTTGTTGTGCTCTTCTGCACAGTAGCTTCCCTCTTTATTTGCTGGGTATCAGCAGTTTCTTGAGAGCGACTATCACCATTTGCTTTAATTTTTTTCTCCTCTGCTGGGTATTTCTTATCCCCTTCTCAACTCTATTGCTTGACATTGCTCCTTGTCTTCTCTTTTTGGTGTTTCAGTGTCTGCCAGCAACTTCCCAAGAAATCTATTTCATAACTCATTTGCTAATACAGCATTCTTGTCCACTGTTGACTGTTGTTTGCGTTTTAGGAGGCTTCACAATTTCTGCATAATTTCTGCTGTGTTCTTTCGGTATAGCAACTTCTGCATCATTTTTGTTGTGCTCTTTCTGCACAGTAGCTTCCCTCTTTCTTTGCTGTGTATCAGTAGTTTCTTGAGAGCGACTATCACCGTTTGCTTTAATTTTTTTCTCCTCTGCTGGGTATTTCTTATCCCCTTCTCAACTCTATTGCTTGACATTGATCCTTGTCTTCTCTTTTTGGTGTTTCAGTGTCTGCCGACAACTTCCCAAGAGATCTATTTCATAACTCATTTGCTAATTGACCTACTTGAACTTCTAAATTTTGCAAGGATGCTTGTTAACTTTGTATCACAACATCATTTTTAGCCATATATTCCTTTATTAGGCTCTCAAGAGATATTCCCGGTATGTGTTGAGTTTGGCTAGCTCATTTCCCTTCGGTGGTGGCTTGTTGAGAACCATATGTCAATTGGTTTTGTAATTCAAAACCTAGAGGATAAATTGCTTTAGGTGGCATTTGTTGATTGTATGAGCCTTGTCCCTTCCATGAGAAGTTTGGATGATTTCTCCACCACTGATTATAAGAATTTGAGAAGGGATTATTTTTCGGGTTCCCTTGACTAGCTTGATTCCCCACATAAAAAATTGAGGTCGGATTGCTTGGACATTGATCAAAAGTGTGTTCTTCTTCACAATATACACAAGATTCAGCTGCTGTCTGGGTCATTACAGCAGTTGTCTGGGTTGGTACTTTCGTCATTGAGCCTTGTCCTAATGCTAGATTTTGTAAAATATTAGCCATCGAAGCTAGTTAAGCATTGATAGAAGACAAAGCATCAACTTCAAGTACTCCTCGAGTCTTCTTTCCTAGGTTGCTTCTCACATCGGCCCATTGACAATTGTTAGATGCTATTCTTTCTAAAATCTTATATGCTTCATTGTATGTCTTTGATAAAATAGCTCCATTGGCGGAAGCATCAACTACTTGTTTAGTAGCAATATTCAATCCATTGTAGAAAGTCTCCATTTGTATACAATGAGGTAATCCATGATGAGGACATTATCTAAGCATCTCTTTGAATCTCGCCCACGCTTCACTTAGTGTTTCATCTTTAAATTGTTGAAAAGCGACAATCTCATTTATGAACCGTGCGTTTCTAATGGGTGAAAAATACTTAATAAAAAACTGCAGACTATTCCAAGAATCAATTATTCCGGATGCTAAGGTATTCAACCATGATTTAGCACCATCCCTCAAAGAAGAAGGGAATAAGCTCAATCTAATCACGTCTTTATCCACTCCTTGGAATTGAAACGAGTCACTAACTCCAAAAAATGACTTTAGATGTAGGTGGGGATCTTCCGACGATAGTCCATGAAATTTCCCAATTGTTTCCAACATTTGAAACATCACGGGCTTTAGCTCAAACGTGGTTCCTTGCGTTTCGGGTCTAATAATGCACGGATTTAGCTCTTCCACAGCTGGGTGTGCATATGCTCGAATCGCTCTTTCTCTATCATCTGCTAAATGAATGGCATTAGCAGTAATTCTCTCTTGATTAACCATCATCGCTGAATTTTCAAACTCCCGATTCAGTTGGGCCATTTGCTGTATATTCTATTTTGCCATTTTCTTTTTCTCCCTCAACTTTCGTCTAAAGGTTCTCTCTATTTCGGGATCAAAAATAAATTTCAAACCCGTAGGTGGGTTCATACACAAAATTTTGCAGCAGTAAGCTCAATTCTGCAGCAGTAAATTCAGCCGTAGAAAATTCAGCTTATTATGGCTTCTTTTTAGCTCCAACTCACGAAAATCTACAACAAGTAAAATAACCAAATTAGGTTCCCTAGAAACGACACCAAAAACTTGATCGCTTGTGGATGTATTTATTAAAATGATGTAAAACTCACAAGATTAAATGCAAGCATACACTATCACAAGTAGGAAGTAATAAGTAAATTATCGATTCCATAGAGAACCTATCCTTTTGGTAAATTTAATTGCTGGAAATTAGGTGAGTTTTTGGGTAACATTCAAATGGATGTTGGTGATTTTGACTACTTAAACAAAACTAAAGCAGAGTGCCACTATTGTCGAAAAGCAGAAAATAATGAAAAAATCAACTATAACGAGGAAGGTTTAGCTAAGAGAGATTAAATAGATAAGTTGTTGAGTTTTGTGGTAGATTTTAGTTCCTTTTAATAGATTCCCAAGCCAACTTCCGAGGGTCATGAATGGTGATTATTTTCATAATCGTTCTAATTTCTATTAACAAGGCTTTAGGAGAAGAATTATTTCTAACCCTCCTATTACCCTGCAAGTCTCCTTGCTATGGAACTAGAGTATTAAAGAGGATTTCATTGCTCTTTCTCTTCTCCCGAATAAGAGAACAACGATGTATGTAAAGTAGCTAATTAAACACATATGTACATCATTAACAACAACTCTTTAATAAACTAAAATCATACCGTCAACATACTTAAACTATATAAACTCTCTCGCCTCTTCTATAAAGTTTAGCTCTGTTGGCTTTATGACCCTTAATCTCAAATTAATTAATTAATTAATTAATGTTTAGGTGATAACAAACCTACCTTCAGTTATTAACAATTCTTAGTATTTTGTCCACAGTGTAAAGTTGGGAATAACGATTACAACGTCTTTTTTGGTTCACTCAAATTAGAGATAAAACAAAGAAGTTTCAGTCAAAATAAGATACCCGATGTGATGATGTGACGGCAAAATTGAGATCATGGACCAATCAAATTCAAAACAAGATACCTGACGTGATGATGTGGTGACAAAATTGACATCATAGACCAATCGAAATATGATATTTATAACTTTGGTAGAGTAACAAAGGGTGGAATTTTCAATTATTTTAAACTAAAATAAAAGTTTTTCTTTACTATTTCAATTATATTTATGAAAACTAGTTTTCTTGAATTATAAAATTATATCAATTACATTTATAATATTTCAATTAGATTTATAAAACTTTCAAACTACTTTTAGATGTTACTCACATCTTTTTCATTAACATTTTTTTATTATATAATTACATTTAAATATATATATATATATATATATATATATATATATATATATATATATATATTTATATAAATAAAAATTAATTTAAAATGTTTTAAATATTTATTTAAAATAATATATATATATATATATATATATTTAAATGAAACATGTGGTCTATAATTTTTTACGATAAATTTAAAAATAAATAAATATTATTTTTCGTGGTCCACGTTTCAGTTCACGTTTTAGTGGTATGTATCAATTCCTATTTTTACAACTTGATCACTATTTAAACTCATCACCTCTTCATATTTTTCAGAAAACAACATACACAACACACAACATAGAACACAATACACAATTTTCATAGTTTTCTCGATTTAAAATTTTTGTTTAAAAGCCTCCATTGTTGCTCTCTCAAAAGCTTCCAATTCTATTTCTCTCATCACCTCTTCATATTTTTCAGAACACAACATAGAACACAAAACACAATTTCCATAGTTTTCTCGATCAACAATTTTTGTTTTAAAGCCTCCATTGTTTCTCTTTCCAAAGCTTTCAATTCTATTTCTTGTTTATCTTAGAACACAATACACAATTTCCATAGTTTTCTCGATCTACAATTTTTGTTTAAAAGACTCCATTGTTTCTCTGTCCAAAGCTTTCAATTCTATTTCTTGTTTATCTTATTCTTGAGAGAGATGTCTATTGTAGTGTGAGAAAATTGTAAATCTATTACTTCAGAGTGTTGTGAAGTGTTTCTATAAGATTTCAGACAGTTGTACCGGTTTGATCCTGAGCCGTGGAAAGGATTTAGTTTGCTCTTGAACTCGTAAACACAGCGGTGTACCGGTTTGATCCTGAGCCGTGGAAAGGATTTAGTTTGCTCTTGAACTCGTAAACACAGCGGTGTACCGGTTTGATCCTGAGCTGTGGAAAGGATTGAGTTTGCTCTTGCACTCATAAAAGAAGCGGTGTAGTGGTTGGGCTCGGGCTCTGATTCGAGGAAAGAGTCAGAAAGTTTTATTCAAATTTCCAAGAGGCGCTTGGGGAGTGGAGTAGGTCGAGTTTGGCCGAACCACTATAAAACTACGGTGTTATATTTTCTAACCCTTTTCCTATTTAAATTCTAAATTATTGTTAATTTTTATTGCATGGTATCAAGTCTTATTGTTTTTTTAAAAAAAATTATGGTTGAAACCCTCCTCACCCCTTCTACGGTTGTCATATCGATCCAACAAGCTCTCCATACAAACTGAATTAAACATAGAAATTCGCATCTCAATCATGTAAAATTGATGAAATGAGAAAAGAGAATAAGAAAATAGAGAGTTATCCTGGTTTGTTGTCATTCGTCAATGTAAGTTCCCTTCCCTTGAGCTCTCA